TTGCCTTGTGTGGCTATGGTGTAAGTGCCTTAGCTAGTCTTGAGTTTTGGGCACTTTAGCATGCTATATTTGTTATGGTCGCATGTTTTGTCATCATTTGGCATATGATTTCAGAGCATGTAACCTTGTCATACCCTCATGTTTATCACTCTTTAATTGTGTTTAAGAGTTGTGCCTTTATACCTTGCTTGCGAGCCATGAGTTGAGTATGCATTCCTTGCTTTTTGTGCCTAAGTTTTGTTGAGTTTTGGCCACTGTTTTGGCATGCATGAGCTCTAGTTTGGGACTGGTTTGGGTGCTTGTGCATAGTATTGCATAGTCTTAGTGTTGTGTACCTCACTAGCTTTAATGCTTGAGTCCTCTAGCATGCTATGCTTGTGTTGTTTGTGTGATATAGCATCATTTGGTATGTGATTTCAATGCCTACATCTCTGCCATACTCTCTTATTTATCACTTCTTCATTGTGTTTGAAAGTTGTGTTTAATGTTTGGCTTGCTAGCCAATGCATGAACATGTTGTTGTAGCTTTTGGTGCCTCATTTCTAGCATGATTCTACCATTGTTGTGGCATGAGGTAGGTTTGACCATTTGAGCATTATAGTACATGCTTCATGTGTGATACACTTCACTTGCCTTGATGCCTTAGCTCCTAAACATGCCATGCATGCATTGCATACATGATAGAGCCTTGTGCATACCACTCTAGCATTGATAGATAAGCATGTTGTTTGCATGTGTGTTGCATTGCATTGTATTTGGATCGGATGTTAATCCAAACATGAGAAACGAGGGGCGTTTCATACTTGAAGTGATGAAACATGACTCATTTCTTTGTCGCCGTCCCCCTTGATTGTGCATGATAGGGTGGAGGCCTCTCGAGTCCTATGTGTTATTTGTGCATTCATCAACATTGTGCAAGCTTGACTCTTTGGCCATCATGCATCGAAATGCGTGATTGGTGGCTTGAGAGTCGAGCACTACACTCCTTTGAGCTTGAGACATGATAAAGAGTGTGGTTGCACACACATTCCCTTGCAAATACAATGCCATGCCCCTGTTTGTGCTCTGTTGTAGCAAAAGGAGAAATTGTAGGAAGTAGTGGCCGACTGGCCATCAAAGCTGCCGACCAGCCACCAAGGTTGCCGATCGGCTATTAGAAGTGGCCGATGGCTATCAACTTTGGCCGATGCCCACCATCTCTGGCCGATCATCCCTCAGCATGTTCTTGAGATCAGTAAGAAGCAATCTGGAAGTTGGCACAATTTTCAGAGGTCTAAAGGTGTGCAAACCGAGGCATCTTGAGGCAAGGCAGTGGATTTCCGGGAGGACGCGACCAAGCAAGCATGCCTCCCTCGCACGCAAGGCCATTTTACCGATTTACTAGCTAGTTGTAGTTAATTACATGTTTTGTAATTAATTAGTTTAATCTGTGTTGTAATATTTAATTAGCTTAGATTAGCTAGCTATTCAATTCATTTTGGTTTGTAATAATTAATTAGCTAAATTGGTTAATTAGTTAGCTTAATTAGTGTAGCTAGTTAGCTTTCATTTCATTCGGACCCTTCGTCGAGAGGGCACAATGTTGTAATAAGTGTGCGTGAGTGTGTGCATGTCTTCCAACCCCATTTCTTTCTCCTTTTTACTTATTAGCTTTTGATGGTTAGTTTTAGGACATATTTCAATTAGCATCCTTATGCTTGCATGCGTGCATCATTCATCTGTCTTGCATGCACCGGGCTCGGCGCATCCCTCAAATTGCATCGTATTTCAATACTTATTTGAATACATGTATCAATTGTTGCATTCATATGCCATCGTAGATAGCTGAGCGTACTTAGTTGCATTTTGCATGTGTTACATTAGGCATTGTTGACATAGCTAGGATCATGCATGATTACTAACTAGCTTCTGTTTTGGCTCGGAGTACACTGTGAGTGTTTATGCTTTAGCATCCTTGCATGTGTGTAAGTGACTGCCATGATAGCATACTTGCCATGAGGCTAACTACTTAAGTTTTTAACTGCATGAATGCCTGTGGATGAAGGCTTTATTACTTGAATTGGAACAATTCATCAAATGTGAGTTTTAAGCCCACTTGAGGTGGAAAAATCATGTTGTTTTAAGCCCACTTGAGGGTGGCAAATCCGTGCTTTAGCCTACTTGTGAGTAGCACTTTCAAACCATTTTCGAAAACAAACATGAGATGTTTTGTTCCAATCCTTGCGATTGAGTCTATACTTGTCTGATGTGCGCATCACATAGTAATTGTAGATTAATAACTGGAATAAGAACACATGTGTTTATAAAAACAACATATCATGTTAGTAGAGACCGATCCTTTGATCGGGCAAGCGGGGGTGCTCATTTCATGACCTTCCCCCCTCGTACCCAAGTTCCCGAGCTGAGGCAACTTTGGTGATGACAGACACGTGACCTTAGCCACGAGTCAGGGTTTCCTAAATTTTCCAAAATAAAATATTTAGGTGGCGACTTTGAAATCTGGCAAAGCAGTCCATGTTTGGCACTTTTCGATTAAAATCAATTTTCCAAAACGATTTGCTGGATTTGGACTCTTTGGTGATTTATCAGTCTTACATTGCACTTTGTGAGATTAGATTCAGAACCGTGACAGGAGTCTGAACTGTGGTAGCTAGAACCCCAAATTTGCGCCCTCTTCGAAAAGGGGGGCAAGCGGAGCAAGTTCAGGCAGTCTACAAGGCCTCTAATCTTTAACTATTCCATTAAGTTCCGAGTAAATCCAAAATATCCAATTGATTTCCAACCAATGGTATGTTAGACCTTTTGCACCAATTTTGCTATAAATACACCAATCCTCTTTACACTTTTGAGCACAAAACACACTCACACACTTACATATCTAGGTGAGAGGAAAGAGAGGCCAAGAGAGTGAGGTTTGGTGGTAGAGGAGAGAAAAAGAGAAGAAATTTTGTGAAAACTCTTCAACTAGGCAACAAGTAAGCCACATCACCATCTCTCCTTCTATTTCCCTTTTCAAATACATGTGATTAGAGATTTAAAATCACATTTTTAGATGCTTTGTGATGGTGTTAATGTGTTCAAAGTTGATGAATTGGGCTTTGATCCTTCTTCTACTCATATTTCCTCTTAATAGATGCAAAACTACATTTTTCTTCCCATATCTCACATCATTTCCAAAAGCACACCATCTCTATAAAAATTTGAGTTATTGATACATTGTTTAGTATGCTTTCGTCACAAAAGAAGAGAAAAATTTCCCTTAGTTGGCCTCTTTTCTCACCAATCTTTTTATTTTGAGTATTGTGCATGAAAAACCAATTTTATAGCCAACTGTCAAAAAACATAGAAAATGTAGACAAATCTCGTAGACATCAATTTTATGTAAAAAACTTTCTTGAAGAGTGAGACTTGAAGGAAAATTGGTTTCAATGAAAAAGAGCGACCGGTTTGAAAGAAAATCTGATTTTCGTAACGGTTGATGAATTTGGACTGAGTTGGAATGTTTCTTAAATAACTTAAAATCAGAAAAGCTATTCCATTTTCAAAAAATGTTCTGAAAACTAGATACAATCTCTACGAACCACAGGAAGGCTAGGCTCGGGAAAAATTTGAAATGGCCATTTTGATTTTAATCTTTAAATGGTACTGAATCTAAAAATTTAGTTTTGCATTAGTATTCTAAGTTCTTGTCTTCATGAATATGCTTATTAGTATATGATCATGTCTTGGTATGTTATTGCGTGTGTTATGGTTATGTTCCTTATCTTTTTCATTTGATGATGCTCAACCTTTGCTAGATATTACTATCTTGTTAAGTTGTTCTAACTTTAATTTAAGACATCTAACTCAACAGAAACCTTAATTGGGCTGGTATTGGGTTTTCGATCACTTGGATAATGAAGAGATATGATAATGTGTTATGTATGAATTGATGGGTTATGCTCCCTAATTAAAGGTTAAGTCTTGCGCAAGCAATTATCGCGTAAACCCTAGAATGGAACGGACATATTCAGACTCTTTGTGATGATTTAATTTGGTGAGATAAGGTTGTCTAGATGGGACATTCAGGAGAGTAGAACTTACCTTTTTATTTTCACTGTCCCTTTTGAGGTCCACCGATGGTGCTACGCGATGTGTAACCGTTGCAGGCATCCATGATAAGGTCTACAAAGTAATAAAAGGGGGAGTTTTGAATAGTCCAGTGTCCAATTCTTGTGGTTGGGAGGATGAAATCTCTTTGGGGGATTTCTAGATTACTAACATCTAACCTTGTAATTATTATTGAATGAATATCGTGCTTCATTATTGGATTGGGAAAAAGAGATGGGGTGTGTGTGCATTTACTGGGCGTTCAAAGCTCATGGCATTTCATGCTAGGTATTAAGGCGTATTAGATCAATCAAAGGCAAAACTGAAGTATTTGAAGATGTATGGCTACCCTATAAGAGTTAGGAACTCGTTTTGTAGACACGTTTTGAGATTGTAAGTGATTAATCGCTTGTTATATTTAAAACATGATTTTGTAATCATTATATACATATATATATCGGTTGTAACCTATCCTTATACTCCATCAACTCATGTAGGCCTTGTGTTAATACTTTGTCAAGATTTGTCAAAAAGGTAGTTTTGCTATCCAAGGTGGTTGGACTTAGAAGGGAGGCTATATTGACTCCTTTGACCTTCCTGAGATCTTGCTTGGTTATTAGCCAAAGGACTCATTAGTGACGTTTCTTACTCTTGTAACCTTAGATAAACCATATATTTATTTGTCAATATATTCTCTGATGTTCTAGATTTTTTGGGTGTCACAGGGCGTGACCTTATGATCAACATAAGAGTTTTACCATAATGGCTCCACATCTATGCCGAGGTAGTAGACACAACCTCAGACTCTGAACAAGAAATGGTTGACGCCAAAAAGATCTAGAATAAGCGGAAAGGGGGCCAATCATTTATGGGACCCCAAAGAAACCGTAAGGAAAACACGTCACAAAAACCTTACTCCAAACCACCACCATAACAACAACTACCACAACTGCAACAATAGAATCAAAGAAGAAGTTTTCAGCAAAAGTCGGTGGGATAGATTCAATGCTATCATTGCCAGTAGTTAGGGCACAAGAAGAATCAATACCCCCAATTCCCTCCGTCAGGTTACCAAAGTGGAGGCTTTGGTGCAAATGCCCAAGCAATTGGCAGCTAAAAGCCTTAGATGAACAAGGCAGGACCAACGAGGTAGCAGTACCAAAAGAATGGAGGCAACTAGAACCCTAGAACCAACAATAACCAGAAAACAACAAGTAGGTCTTTGCAATGCAAGAAGAAGATGAGAAGGATTCATAAATGAAAGCACCCCCTTTTGTCCAATCTGAAGATTGGCCTCCACTCACTTTCTATTTTATGATTTTAGTGGTTAATTATTCACATACTTCATTTTAAGCCTAAAACCTTTAACTAACCTAGAACTAGATGATTTGAACAAAACAAGTGTCATTCGTTTTAGTTTCAAGAATAAAGCCATAACTTCCTTTAAAATAAAGATTTTTTTTTATTTATCAAAAATAGATTTTTAATAAAATATGGCCATAAACTTGAACTAAAATAAACGACACTTACAAAAAAATTCAAAACAAGCAATTTTGCAAAGAAAGCATTTAACTTGTATAATTGAAAAAGAAGACGCAAGAAGCATACACGTGCCAAGAAAGACAACGAGACTTACCCGTGTCCCCACTACTAGCATCTTCCATGCGAAAACATAAATAAATATGACCTAGACATGCAACTAACATATAAAACATGAACCTAGGCCCAGTTTGAGGCTACTAATAATGCTTATGCACAAAAAAGCAAATAGCATATAAAGAGTAAAAATGCAAACTAACTACATGATGATTCAAACCAGGCCTAACACATAGATTATACATTATTTAAATTTAACCTAAACATGTTCTGATGAAAAATGAATGAAAGCATGCGATAAGAAGTAAGAAAATGAATAAAACAAATAAAATATATGAACTACAATATGATCATGCTATCCTAACAAACCTAGATGACTACATACATGAAAAGAAGAAAGAAAAAGGGGCTGAAATAACCAAAAGATAGAAGATTACCTTTTGTTTTGGAGAAAAGTGTAAGAAAATGTGAGAAAACCTCGTTTTCTTTCTTGCAAGCCTCTGTAAAACCAGGGTTGTTGATTACAGATCAAGTCTCCAAGACCTTAAGATGTTTTTAAGTGTTTAAGATTGTTGTGAGGTGGCATTTTTTAAGTTAGATGGAAGGGGGAGGGGTTCTTTCTCTCAACCTTTCAAATGTTCTAAAAAAAGTCTTTTCTTTGTTATGCCCTTGAAGAAAGAGGGGGAAGCGGAAGGGTGCTTTTATAGGCACTCCTAGCTCGGAGAGTAAGCCAAAGGATGCTGCTAAGGTTGAGTATCACTTTCTCCCTAGCACCTCTGTTCAATTCTGCATTATTATCCTCGGAAAGTTTTCATTTTTGTTTGTCGGGAAATGGTACGGCACATACGGCCAAGGGTCCAGGTGTCAACTTTGCAGGTTAGGTGCAAGTTTGCATGGCTAGGTGTAGTTTTGAATGGCTCTTGCCTACTTATGGCTCAAGCAAGCTCAAATTCCCTTTAGATCTATAATTTGGATAAAAAACAGTCAGGAATTTTGAAAAATACCATTAATCCAAGTGCAATCATGCTTTCCTTGTCTGTCGGGCTCAAAAAATCGACTTTTATATGAAAAACGGGTTTAGGGGTATTTTGGTCCTTTTCGCAAAAAGGATGGAGGTATTACCATTTCATTATTGAGAGGCCTACAAGTGCCAGTAGTCCTAATGGTCAGTCAAAATGAGATGTCTACAGTTGCCCCTCTTTGACAGAGTTTGAGTAGTCATAGGTGATGGAAGTGAATATCAAAGCTCCGAGACAAATCCATTTGACAAGGCCATGAGACTTAAGGCAGTTGTAGACACCCCATTTTTGACCGTCCTCAAGACTTGGACGTCACCGTTTGAGCACTCGGTGATCATCCATGTTCGTGCTCGTTTTTAGTTCTCGGGGGTGTCGGCTACGCGCCTTGCCTCAAGATCTCTCAACTTATTTGTTTTTTGCTTGGTCATGGACCAAACACTTGTGTTTTTGCTTCTAAGGGAAGAGGGTGGCTTGTTGGCCATCCCCTCAACCCACCGGCCAAGGCATGATGCCACCGGCTTCTTTTTTCTTTCCATCAGCCAAAGGTTGTGGCCGATCGACACTATTGTTGGTCGGTCGGCCACCTTTGTTGGTCAATCGGCCATTTCTGCTGGTCGACCCCTTTCCATCTGCTTTTGGCAGATATTTTATGCCAGCTATCACAGCTGGCATCCATTTTGCACCCCCTCCATACAAGTGTATAGAGGGATTTGCCTCTTGAGTTAGCTTCTCTTAGAAGCTTTAGAATTGAACCTCTATAAGAGGAGGGCTTCTCCTCCCTCCTCCAAGGTTCAGCGAATTAGGGTTAGAGAGTGAGATACAACTTTGTATCTATATTCCCTTATTTGATCCCATTTTGTGCATAAAAAGTGAGTTTTGTCTTACTTTTACACCAGAACACATAGCATTACACCACCCTTGGGTTGCTGAGGCATTAGAGGGTTGTTGTTAGGGTTCTTGGACTGGTTTTGATCCAAGGCACGTGCTGGAGTGGTGTTCTTGAAGAGGTTCTTCAAGGGTAAGAACCTACCTTCTTTATTCCCCATTTTTGCACAAGTTTTTAACCTATCTTGCATCTATTTTTAAGCTTCGACTATAACGGCTAAAAGTTCTGTTTTTAAGTGCTTAAAATAGTGGTTTGAGATCACTTTGGTGTTTGGGGTTGTTTACCCCCTCTTAGGCCTTGTTCGGCCTCATTTTTGTGCATTTTTTGTGAGCTTCGGGACCACCTTGTCTTGGCCTTCTCACCACTGAAATCCAGAGGGATTTTAGTGGTGGGGATGGTGTTTTGAGGTCCTAAGAAGGAGGGGGCCATCCCTTCTCCTTGTTGTCTTCAATACTTGTCATATTTGCCTCATATGTGAGCACCTTTGTTAAGTTCATGTTGACCATGTCTTAGCTGGTATTTGTGGTTGTTTTACCATGATATATCTCTGTTTTTAGTTGGTTTGGACAAGCCATGTATGCTCCATACATTTGTCATGTAATCCCATGTTTTGGCCTTAACATGCATTATGCTGTAACATGTGTTTCTAGCATGATTTTGGCTAGACTTTATGAAGCTTCTAGCCTTGTTTTGGTATGCTTGAGGTCTGATTTTAGTTGTTTTGGTCGTCCATGACTTGCTTTGTATAGCTATTATGCATTCTAGCTTGTAGGCTTTGAATATTGAATCCTCTAGCATGCTTAATTTGGATCATTTCAGTGGTTTTGCATCACTTGGAATGCTATTTCAGTCCATATTTCATGCTTGAATACTTGCATTTATCACCTATTCCATGCCTTGGATAGTTTGTGTTTTATGCCTCATGATTGTGTCATTGTGTATGCTTCCATGCATAGGCCATTTGGATGCCATCTAAGTGTGTTTTTGGCCTTGTCTTGACATGCATTGGGACTGTTTTGAGTCCCTTTCACCCTTTGGGACTTGCCTTGTATGGCCGTGGTTTGAGCCCTTTGGTTAGCCTTAGGCCTTAGACCTTCGTGCATGCTTTGCTTGTCTTATTTGGTTGATTTGGCATCATCTTCTACATGTTTTTAGAGCTTAACATGTTGTCCTAATGTCCATGTTTGCCTCCTTTTAAGTATGCTTAAAAGTTTCCCTTTGATGCTTGAGTGTTAGGCCAATTACCATGCAAGTTTGTATGTGGTCTTGTCCCTTGTCCCTTAGCATATTGGCCACTAATTTTGGCATGCTTGAGAGCTACCCATGTTAGTGTAAGTCCATCTCACCATGTTGTTGCATGCTTGTTTCATTTTGCATGTTGTTGCCTGCTATACATGTTCACATGTTTAGGTTGTACGCCTATTGCCTATTGCCTATTGCATGTTTGTGTTGCTTTGTTAAGTTCATCATGCATGTATTACATTGGTCTAAGTATACTTGCCTTTGCATGTTATTAAATGTTAGCCTATTGACATGTTGTTGCATGTTCATCCATCTTGCATACTCGTTAAGTTACATGCTTGTTTGCATGCTTGTCTTTGCATATTGTTATACGCTAGTTGCCTTGTATAGCATTGTTGCTTGCATGCTCATGTTGCATTAGTTTGCATGCATGCTTAGGTTGCATAGCATTTTGTGCATGCATCTCTTGCCTCTTAATCAACCATGATAGAGGTTAGGATCATTGTGTGTTTGCGTGCATTTTATTTGATATCAAATTGCACACTCGGCATCTTGGGCCATCATGCATTGAAATGTGTGATTGATGGTCCGAGGGTCGAGGACTACACTCCCTTGAGGTTCAAACATGATAAGGAGGGTGGTTGTGCATACATATGGCTTGAAAATGCATTGCCATACTTTGTCTGTCCTCTGCTGCAGTAAAATAGGATTCTGCAGGAATATATGGTTGGTCGACCATCCTCAGTGCCGATCGGCTAATTATTGTTGGTCGAGAGCCTTCCCAATGGTCGATGACCCATTTCCCATGGCTGGTGGTGTTTCCTCTTGGTCAGTGACCTCCTACAACCCACAGGGAGTAGTTCAGGAGCATCCTTAAGACTTGTGCAGTCCTTAGGGGTGCAGAGCAGTATAAAACAGAGGCAACATGAGTATGGCGATGGATTTCCGAGCGAAGCCGAGCGTGCATGCATTCATCCCTCTTCCCGAGGCTGCTTTACTGCTTTAATAGCTTAGTTAATTTGCTTAATTAATGAAGTTTTGTGTAATATTTAATTAGCTTGTTAGTTAATTTGTATTATTCTTTTGGTCCCTCCGCGAAAGGGAAAACTTTGTAATAAGCGTGCGTGTGTGTGATGCATGTCTTCCAACCTCCACTTCTTTCTCCCTTTTACTTAACCACTTACAATGGTTATTTCTAGGGCACGTTTCAATTAGCATCCGTATGGTATGCATGTTTGCATCATTCACCTGTATTGCATGTACCGGGCTCGGCGCATCATGCTAATTGCATAGTATTTCAATTCCAACTTGAATACGTGTATCGAGTTGTTGCATCTCACATGTCATTCTTAGAATAGCCGAGTCTATTCTAGTTGCATTTTTCCTGCGATGCATTAGCCATCTTAACATGGACTTGGATCATACATTTGATTACTAACATGTTCCTTGTTTTGTCTCGCAGCACACTGTGAGTGTTTATGCTTTAGCATCTCCCATGTATGTGAGTGTTAACATGATAGCATGCTTGCCATGAGGCTAATTGCTTATGTGATATAACTGCCTGAATGCCTGTGGGTGAAGGTTGGATTGCTTGAATTGGGATAATTCATCGAAATCCGTATTTTAGCCTACTTGCGAGTAGCAAACTTTCAAATTGCTTTCCAAACAAATGGATATGCGATGCTTTGTTCCAAATTAGGCGATCTAGTCTATACTTGTGTGTTGTGCGCATCACATAGTAATTCTAGCTAATAATTGGAATAAGAACGCATGTGTTTTCAAAAACTAGATATCATGTTTAGTACAGGCCTATCTTCGGATCAGGCGAGCGGGGGTGCTTATAGCTGACCTTCCCCAATCGTACCCTAGTTCCTGAGCCAAGGCAACTTTGGTGATGACGGACACGTGGCCTTA